TGTCTTTGAAACTGTGGCTCTAGTGTAAATTGCAATACTGGGAGCTATCAATTTCTAATGTTAAAAGTTATTAAGCATTACTAAGCTGGAGTCTTGCTGTATTGCATCTCTCCTAAAGCAGGCTCTCTTTCAACAGAAAAATCTGAAAACTGCAAAAGCCACTCTGGTTAATACAACTACAAAAAAAAATACTTAAGTTTTAAAGTTCTCTTACATTCCTACTACCAAGTTTTAACCTCATACTTGGAATAGTTTCTGGATCCCTGAAATTCCCAAACCAACCTTTAAACACACTAACTTAGGCCTTCATAGAGCACTTGTCAGCAGGAAGGAACAGCTTAAATATCCTGGTTTACCATCTGGTTTTCATACTCAACATCTTGAGGCCAGTGAAGTTCTTAGGACAAGGTAACAATTTTATTAGACCAGAAGATACAGCCTGGGGGAGGGGATAGTACATATGTTTTTGTTAGGACGTAGAAGTCAGGAGAACCTCTCCAACTCCTACCCAACTACATGAGACAGCAACAGCTAGACAGGGTTACAGAAGTAAAATTCCTTTCAAAGAACAGAAATAAGAACTGTAAATGCTAAATAAATATAACTAGTTATCCATGTAGCCATTATAAGGGATAGATTAATCTCAATGAAGATTAATGTCTAGAGTTTTTCTTAGCAATATTTCCCACTGCTCATATGAAATCCATTCATAGCACATCCCCCAGAAGCTATAGGTAACCTGAAGCATCTGCATCTTCTCTCTAGCCCAACTTTCACATTGAGAAACAGAACAACAGATTTAAAAACTTTAAAAGAGAAGGAACTGTCAGGAATCCAGAGCTCTTCCAGTAAGTTTTGACAAGTCTCCTTCTACATACAGAAAAAAACGTAGGCTTCAGATATGGAGCTTTGTATTAGAATACATTCTACTGTATGCATTGTAGATATTAAAAAGCACAGCTTCCGTTGCTTCCCAGTCCCATGTCAGGTCTACAGCACCTGGACCCTCTGCATCTGCCTACACATTCTGGAAGAAATCAAGGTGTGACCCATATCCCAGTCCAGTTTTAAACAAAGTCCATCTGACTGTGTTCATATGCAGACGAGATCCTCCTCCTGGGAATCAGTCACCTTAGCTGCCAGGATTCCTGTCTTTCTGGCAGGGATGAAGGACAAATGAAATCCCTCTGCTATGCAAAAGCAGAATATTCTAACACAAAAAGAAAAGGTCAAGAAACTGAAGGCATTTGTAGTTGAAAAAAACTTGGCCCACAAAATTCTCCAAAATCTTGAAATCAGTGATAGAAAACATGTATTTAGCATTTTAAGATTGGCTCACGTCTACTGCCAGAAGCTTGGTCCCCTAGAGTTGAAGATTTTTGAAAAGAGATCCTGAAATTGCTATTGAAGGGAGATTACACACTCTCCTTCATAAGCAGGAGGATGGCTTTTACCAATGTTACAGGAGGAGCCAGGAGAAACAAAATCAAGAACTCCAAAGCTAATCCTTGTCCTCCCAGAGGACTACTACCTAAACTCAGTTCTAATAACTAAGAAGCCAGACTCAAAGTTCACTTTCTGTTCTCAGAAAAGGTTTCTTCCATTAGATTCATAAAGGACCAAATGGCAGAGAACCAGCAGCAGAAGCCAGCACTCCAGGTTCAAAAGCTGGCTCTAATCATGCATCCTTCCCATCCCTGTAGTATAACCTTTCCTTAGTGCCCTGTTATTTCCCTCGTATGTACACTGTGTTCCACTATTAAAAGATTACTCAATACTAAAGTCATCTTTTTCATCTCCTGACCACTTTCTTCCTCTCGTCACTATTCCTCGCCTTCTCTGCCTTCTAATTTCCTTTTCATCTTTTCATTCTCAACAGTTTATCCATCAGTCTTGCTCACATGTCAGTTTGCCATAACATCCCTTCAAGTTCCATACTCAAAATACATCCATCTCTAAAGATATTTTTAACTAATATTAAGGTATTAAGCATATCAAATCCTGCAAAAGGACACACACAACAGACAGTACCTTCTACATTTACTGCCCTCCTTATTATTCCACCCATAAAGATGTGATCCTGACAAGATGTTGCTGAAGAGTCCGAAAGATTTCACGGACCAGGACTGTCTAATGATCACAAAGCTAGTACAGATGTCTGACAGAAACTGGGTGGAGGGCTGCACAGAATGGAAAAGATTAAGTATCTACTTTATTCTTGCAAGGTGAAGAAGGGTCAAGAAGCTTCAGAGCCAACAGAGTGGAAAAAGTAAGCAGGAAGCAGGCAAGAGAACACTACTTTTTTAAAAAGGACTTCCTCTGACTTACAAACTGCTGTAGAAAGCCATTATCAGCAAGTAAGAGCTGCTGATAGCTCTCATTTGAGAGCTTTAAACATTTTTAAGTACGAAGTGACCTGCTGCTGACTCCATCTGTTATTTCTCAGCTGCTGGAGTGAACCTCAGGCAGAAGGTCAGCGGAAACATGGAGCAGAAGTCTGGGAGGGATACAAAAGGTGACCAAGAGAATTGACAAAGAATTTATAGTCACAAAGGTATCACAGACTTCTGAAACTTGAGTTTATATGGAGGCAAGAGTGCACATCACTCTACAGGAAAGACGTCAAAAAAAATCGAATGACTCCTTCCATAGGGAGGTATGGAAGGCTGGAAAACATCTGCTGATCTCTCCCAACATCTATATCCCTAGCCTCCTCCCTAACTTGGATGAGGACCTGTTTTTAGCTCCAGAAACATCCGTGACAGTTCATGGCACTGTCCTGACCGCACATCTTGGATCTTGAGAGCAGCACCGCTCCCTCAGCTTCTCACCATACCCTGAAGCACCCTCAGCTGAGACTCCACATGGCAACAAGGCAACTGCACTACTGAGGTCTCACACAGATGAGCACTGCTGGACGATACAGGGACACCAGTAAAGAAAAAAGTCCCCTAGCCATATTTGAAAAGATACATGGATAATTCATCGTATGAATTATTTCACACAACCTTTCAAAGTTGTTATATATTTATGCAGGAGACATGTCCTGACCCCATTCAGAATGCAGTTGTGGCAGGAACTGTGCTAACACACCCTTTTATTGCTGCTTATTACTGCATATACCAGTCCTGGGCCACATGAAGCTGCAGCTGTACCAGAATCTCTCTTGTAGTAAAGTTTCAGAAGATTACAAGAACGTTTTTATGAATAAGAATTGGTTTATAATGTAAACATTCATATATATATATGGAAGCATGTGCTTATAACCAGTTTGCCCAAAACTAACAACTTTATCTGGTGCCACACAGAAAAGATGTTCCAGCAGCATCACGTGTCATTTTCTGCTAGTAAGTCATATTAGTATACCAGAATAGAAGACATCATTATATACCCTAGACATTTTCAACACCATTCTTACAACTTTAGCACTAATACTTTGGAAAAACTATGGAGAAAGTAATACTTGTGAAGAGAGGTGGATAAAGGGAAATATAAAACTAAGCCCAACTTGGCAGTGAGATGAACTCACAGAAGAGTGAAACACTGCCCCTTCCCCCAGCCAGAGCTCCTCTGTGATGTGCTGTTCTGCAGCATGCCTGGGATTGATACACTTGGAGCAGGCAGCCTTAGCTTGTTGTATGCTGTGGTCAGTGCAGCGTGTCTGTACACCAGTGCATGCACAGAATACAGCCGCAGAAATTGAATCGTGCAAGAGTTAGTTCAAAGAGGACTTCTCTGTCAACATCCAGGTTTCTATTTACTGCACTTTTCTATTTTTACTGAAAAATCCTATAAACTACATGAGCATACACAGCGTCGTGCATAAAACTTGAAAACCTCAACTGTAAAACTCCATTTCAATAACAGGACTATGTTTCCTGGAAAAAAGCATTAACTCCGTTGTGCTAAGCAAATACAGATTTCTATCCAAATTATGTACAACGAAAAGGCTAAAATACTAAATAACTGAAATAAAGGCTTACAAGAATAAATGAAATTTCCATACCCAGGAGGGATATTACTTGTGCTCAGAGGTGATACACTATTTTTAGGACTATGAAGAGCTGCATTACTTCTAGCACACTTTGACTGAATTTTCAGAGTTAAACATTCGCTGCTCACATCTAGTACAACTGCTGCTCTGAACGCTCAGCAGTGTTATGAGCCAATTCCCTCAAGATTTTTGTTTGAGAAAAGCTTCAGTTAAAGTTTCAGCATGGGATCTACATACTCTTTGATTTTCTTTTGGTAGGAGAAAAAAATCACATCTCTAGTTACATGCCTCTATTATGACCTATTCTAAACTTATCCCCTGGCATAGCAAACGGAATTTCACTAAATGCATAGATAGATATTGGACACCTTGTTTCCACTTTGAGCTCAGTATCGAAGGTAACACTTACCCCTAGTAGTATGACATTAAATTGAGAATAAGTTTTGTATTTCCATTCCACATTTTACTTCCTCACACCCCTTTCTCTCCACCTACTAGCCTCCCAGAGAATAGCAGAGGCCTATGCCTCTTGCTCAATAGTCTATTCCAACAGCTGAGCCACAGAAAGAGTGCAGCACTGCACAGATGGAAGGGGAACAGTGTTCAGAGAACCTCCCAGCTAAAGGAAAATCCTTTTTAGATCTTGCTATTTGATTAAAGAAAACCAGAGGAATAAAAAAAAAAAAAATTCCAAATCCACACCACAAAAACCGGCCAAAACGAACCATCAACCCACAACTATGGCATTTAAAGCAGCTATTCAGAAAAACTTATTCCCTAAAAAATATGATCTAATTGTGAACCAAAGAACTACACATACTAACCCTAGTCTCAAAACATTAAAAAAAAAAAATCTCCAACTTGGTAAAAGATTGCTTAATAGCTATCAACTCAACTACTAATTGGATAAGAGAAGTGTAAAATATTTTATAGTCACTAAGTATACAACAACTTAAACTGCTGATACAGATTGCTTAAATTTTGAAGAAAAAAAATAAATACTTACCACAGTGGGGTTACCACTGCTGATCAACTGGCTGACTTCGTGAAAAATGCTTTTGCAGTCAATTGATTTGTCTAATGATCCCCGTTTCACTATCACCGCTACTGCTAATAAAATCTGCTCCCGAACGTACTTTTGAAGGCTGCAAACAACATTGCACAAACATAGTTGCAGGTAATTCTGGACATCAATGCTCAATAAACTTTAAATACATTTCTTTTTCAAATATTTTGTGTGAATTCATAAGGGAAAGCTGACAACTCTACAGAAGTTAACTGCTAAGAATGGAAGACAAATTATTGTTATAATGGTCTTCCAACACTACCTTGGGAAACAAAAACGATAACCCAGACTTTATGCAGGATCCTACAAGTTCAGAAGTACGTTTTTGATACTCACTTAGGCCTTTGTAAGACATAGGTTAGAAGGAATGTTCGCAGTGACTCGATGCTAGTTTTTTCCAAGAGAATCCATTCTCTTACAACTGCTTCCATTATCGCTGTAGCAGCTTGAAAAAGGACATAGTCTACTTTACTAGTTTCTGTGGGGAAAAACAAAGGTAACTTGAGTATTAGAAGACATGCATGTATTCAGCTTGAATGTATTTCCAACAAAAGAAAACTAATGGAATTTACTATTATTTATTAATAAATGGGATTTTGTTGCTATAAAAACCAAGGAGGAGAAATAATCAATAACCCAATTATTAAGTTGTCCAATATTATTCAAGCCAGTGACTTAAGAGAAAAGTTGTCTATGCTACAAGGCTGGTTCAAAGATCAGGAATAAGAATGCTAACACAACTGGGGAACAAAATAAACAAGATGATTTAGTCCCAACATCTTAAATAATTAAAGTGACTAAGCTGACATAAAGAGAAACATGTCCGCTTACACTTAAAGATAATATTTGTGTTTAATTATCCAAGCAAAAATGTTACAGACTAGTATTTGAAGTTTTCTACATCATGTTAAAGCTTCCATATTTATCTTAGGGTAATCAAAACATAACTTCTGACCACAGTGTAGGAATCATTGGTCCTTATTATCTGAATATGGGATTACTAGGTGTACAGATGCATTACAGAAAGTATAAAAATATGTTCTGGAGAAAGGTAACAGTTTGGTGATTACAAAGTACAATTTAAAGAGAAATGCCAGAATATGAATATAATTCCTATTATAATAGAAAGCTACAGAGACTTTGTTGTTGTTGTTGTTACTTTGCTTTTAAAAATTTTAACTTGGAAATAGCAGGTAGTATCTCAAAAGCCAGTTTCAAAACATTCTGAGCTCTGCAGGAAACACAAGAAGAACATTAAGAAAGGGTGTAGCCACAGGGTGAAATGGTGAAATAAAATTCCCAAACAAGAAGCATAGTGGGTGACCCACCAGGACTAGAAAAACTGAGTTTGTTTGAAAAAACATCAGTCATGAGATGAAGGGTTTTAAACCACTACAAAGCAAACTTTCTTCCTCCAATTACATACAAGCAAGTTTATAATATAAATTTCCATTATATGCAAGTTCTACATCCAAGATGGCAGCTAATTTGCTACAGTACTTTTATGTTATTTAATCAGGCTCCAAATCTAAACCTACACAGATAAACATGCTTAAATCAAAATGAACCACCTTAAAATCAACTTAGTTTAATTTGGAAAACTAAATAACCACTTAAGTAAAAGATTAATGTGTATGTCTAACACACACATAAAAACGAACTGAATTATTCCTGCATGGGAATTTTAATGCTGACGTTTGTCAACTTCCAGCTCTTTGGCTTTTCTAGCTGTACTAAGCTCACACAAAACAGAGAATGCAAATAAAAAAGGACGGAATTTCTCTTTTGTGTCAAGAACTGCAGATGCACAACTGGAATCATTAACAGCACAGATCTCCAGCCTCCAGTGTAAGCTTATAACTAGCCAGAGCACCGTTATCCTCTACGTGAAGTTACTAAAGAAAGGAAGGGCAGGCTTTGGCAGTACATTGAACAGCTATAAGTTTACAGCAGAAGAATGTAGACCCTAGTGCTTCCTGGGTTCAAGTCCAGGTTTTTAAAGAAACGGCATAGTAGTGGCTGTTCCCCTTTTCCTTATGCTCATCATCTCCATTATTCTCCCTGTATCATTCACACACTCCTCTTTCCACAAATGACATCAACATCCTTTTTATCTCTCTCTACATCCATTCCAGTTCCTGCCTTGACCATTTTTTTCTGTTTCTTTTTAAAGCCATCTACTTTGTTCCTCTGGTTCCTGCCCATCCCGATCAGCACATATTCCTTCACTACACTTCCTCTTTTATTCTTTGTCATGAACAGTTTGTCACCATTCTCTAGTTCCTGATTTCATAATCCCTGCCTCTCCCTTTTCAGCTCCCAAGTTGTGACAATAAATAGCCTCAATTTTGCTGACCCATAAAGCAAAAACTGTGACTGCAGTCTTCAGGACCAGACGAAGTACTCCTATAATATGTTAAAACCAGAAGAAATCTATTTGTAGAAAAACATTTTGATTGGGAAGTGGGTGTAGGAAAAGAAGTACACCCTGCTCTATATATCACAGTATAATTTAAAAATACAGTAGTAGGCCTGCAATATTGACATCATAATATTCATGAATTGTAAGTCTCAATCCAGTAAATTTAGAAATAACTGTTAAAAAAAATACTGTGGAATGAATGAAGTATGAAAATAATAATATTTTAAACAGAATTCTCATAGTTCTCTGCTCATTCTGGCAAATGCTTTGAAAGAAAAGTTGCTTTTTGTGGTTTTGGCATGTGTTCTTTTGCATAAACTTCTAGGTTTCCCTCTCTGGGGCTCAGAGTCAGCTTCCACCGAAACCTCCCAGTTGCCTGCCCCCAACACTCACATCTGGTTAGTACAATAGTGCTTGCTACATCATTATTGCTCCTGTAATTTTCAGATTATTTAGCTGCCCAACTCTAATAAGTCTCTATAGCACCTCTAAAAACAGATTTATTCTTAAAGACTTGTTAACACAACCACATTTACAGCATTTCCATTAAAATCAAAGAAATTTCTGATAAAGGGTGATATCTGCCTATCTCTTTCCTTTTCCACAGGTATAATCACAGAATTTCAAATCACCTGCTTTTACCAGGTGGACAGAAACTTTTCTATTTTCCTTTAACAAAACAGTTGGACATAAATCAAAAAAGGCAGCAATAGGCTTCACCTTTCATGAAAAAGTACCCCTCATCAAAATCAAAACTGACGTTCATACTCCCAGCTGCAGAAGAACAGCACAGTTCCAATTACAAAAGAGTGTACATATTTAACTTCATTTATTAAAACTTACCCAAAATGTGTTTGCAAACAGCAAATGGTGATTTTGATTTTCTAAATGATAAGAATATGTGCTCAGCATGTTGGCGTTGTTCATTATTGACCATGGAAGGTGGTGCCTGGAAAAAAAAAAAAGTTATTCAAGCACTGAAATCCCATCCTGATTGTAAATATAGTAAGAGCAATTGTCATGAACTTAGAAATTTTGCCTTGTTAAACATCAAAACCAAGTATCTCCAGGCAAAACTACTTGCTCTTTCTCAGTCATAGCCTCTTCTTATATACCACTGTGTATTTACATTACATGTACGTAAGTGTGAATATTGAGACATCAAGCAGAGAGTGAATAATTCTAAATATAGTGTTCCTAATGATGCTTCTGAAGAAAGCTAAAAGTCGATCTAAATTCAACCCATTTTTCTACTCAAACCAAATATATTACTTCACACTACTAAATGCTGCTGCACATGCTCAGTCTCAGGAGCAAAGCACTGTTTTTTCTTTAGTTCTACATTTGTTTTAAAATATTTAATTGTGTAATAAATTCAAGGGATTAAAAAATCACTACAAATACATTCAAAAATAAAGTATTGTCAGTAACATACTACCCTCTAGTGTTTAATGTTGAAGTTGACATCTTGAAGACTTGAATGCAATTGAAGAGACAGGTGAGCCTATTTGGGGATGGCTATAAGTGGTTCCCCAGCTGCTTACACCCATCCCCTTACATCCTGGGCACCTTGGCTGCTCAGGTAATACCTGCTGCTCTGCTGCTGAAAGGCAGCTCCATGGCGGTTACTACCTGAAAATCAGCTCCAGGTAAAGCATAAAACTACACAATGACCTGGACCACTGCGAGGTGCCTACAGAGCACAGGTGAGAGTTAATTGCCTGCACTGCAGTCTCACCTCATGAAGCAACTCCAGGAATTCCCCCACACTGTCCCACAAGGTAAAAACAACCCTGCAGAAACCATCAGCTGCTCACAACACCACACTGCTCTCCACTTCTGCCACCAATATTCTCCAATTTCTGCTATTTGGGATTTATCTGAACAAGCACATGGCACAAGATGCTCTTGCAAGGGATTGATACCACAAACAGGGTAAGCAGAACTAAAGCACCTTTGATTGCACATGTAGAAAGATCACATTCAAACTGCAGAGCCAGGTCAAGGTGATAGCATAGGTTATTGAACTTCCAAATTCCAGTCCTGTCCCTAGCAATCTGAGGAGAACATGGGTGCCACCTATCTTTTGGCTGTGATTTATACCCACTGCTTTGGGAATAAAAGCACAAAGACCTTAGCATATAGACCAAGGTTTTTAACTTAAGTGAAATATTTGCCAGTAAATAAAACATATCAAATCTGATTTAATTCTTTCATCCTTGATGGAATACAAGATGACAGAAGACTCACATAAGAGGAAATAACACCAGAGATTACAATTTAATAATCTGAGTAAATGAAGCAAGGAAAAGCAGGCTGCTGATCCTTTGATCAAGGGGGTCCTAATAAACAGCTGTCCACCTCCTTACATAGCAAATTTTTGACTCTCACAGCTTTTCCTGTGCAGATATGAAGAATGTCTATGAAGGGAGAAAAATAAGTAGTGGAGGAACACAGCTTATGCAGAATAAATGCTCTGTCCCTTCACAAACCTGCTCTGCTCTACAGCCAGTTTGAGGGCAGGATGTCCCTGGACAGTGATTTGAACCTGTGCAGGACAGCTCTTACCAGCTCTGGGCGCAAGACCACGGTGTTTGTCCATGCCCCCTTCCGGGCAGACAGCAGTTCAGTGTTAGGCTGTGCACATGTATAGATGCACTGTGCCTTCAGTTCATGTCCCTCTTCCACATCCTTGGAGCAGCATCTCAATGACTAAGTCAGCACGCTGCAGGCAGATATGCACACAGGAAAACTTCTGGATATTTGGTACATTACACACTGCTGTATATCTGAGACAGAAGTAAGCTCCATGGCACGGTCCAAGTCTTTCCAAGACACTGAGCTGCAGTGAACTCCAATCCAATGCAGAAACTCAAGCTTTAAGAACTTTTTAATCAAACGTAAACTTGTATAGAAGCAGCCTTATCAAATGGGATATGCAACATTTCTGTGATAAAGCCTCACGTCTTCTGCATGCAGCCAGCCATCAGCAGGAGCTGCTCCCAACCACACGTGCCTTCTGCAGTCTGAAGGACAGTACTTCTCTGCATGGACCCTAGCTACATTCCCTGCAACAGAACCAGCAGTACCGAATGCCAAAAGAATACTTGGTGCAGCTTATCAAAAATGCAAGAATGACCTACACAGCAACAGCTTAACACACACTTCAGTCAGTGCTACGGCAAATAAACCAAATCTACCAAACAAAAAAGCAATCCCCACATTTTTCCCCTCATTGTATGGGCAAGCATTTGTGCAAATGTACAAAGAACCATGATCCCTTCTATCAACTAGCCCACAAAAAAAAACCCAAAACCACAAAGCGTGAGGGGGGGCACAGGGGCAAGAGGAATGAACACTCTTTTATTACTTTAATAAAGCATCAAAAAGCCAGACAAGTGCCAGTGCAACAATACAGAGAAAAGGAGTGGAGTAACGTTTCCCTTTCAACAGTACTGACCTTGCAGCTCACAACTCTGCAGTCTTGTGAAGCCTCAATAACTACAGCCATGTTAGGAAGAATCCTTTGGGCGTGACAAAGCATAACATTTTTCAAGTTGGGTAATTTATATTTACACTTTTAGAGCAAGAAGATCAAATCAGGGCTACCTGATCTTGAACTAACTTTGCATTAACATTTGAGTTTTTCATACAGAGATCCTATTTTCACCATTCTGTATTAAAGGCACTTTCAGGGATATCAGTTGCAAACTATAGCACCGCCAAAAAACCCAGAATTATTATGCGAAATACTCCCTTTATGCTTATAATAACTATGAAATAGATCTCTTATTTTACATTATTTTAACTCCTCTACTTCTCTGAAGTCCAGTTACAGAGACCTTAGGCACCTTGGGAAAGTACATAGCACATCATATTCCTGTATTGATTTTAAAAATCACAATAATTTAATGACACATTACACACTTAGACTCTAATAACTGTCCAGAACAGACAAGTACAACAATCAAGGTTTAAACTGTACTATACATCCACCAGAGGGAGCTTAAAGCTCACAGTCTACTGCCTTCACTGCATTAAGATAGTATTTATCTGTACAACAATGTAAAGTACAGTTAATTTTAGGCTTTAAAGAAAAAGCCAGCATATACATATTCTGCACACAAATTTCATATTACAAGAATACTGGCTTAGTGATCCCGAGAGCCCTGTATGTCAGTGCCCAGCACCTCCTCAGCACAATAAGGCTAGAAATGTACCCCAAGTACTCATCATGCTTGGAAGGTCCCCCAAACACGCACGTACATTCACTGTTTTTGTTCTAATTGTCTCCTCCATTCTCTTCTCTACCACCCAGTTTACAAGGACTTAAATACCAGTGATGTAATTATCAGGCTCTTGTGGCATATTGAAACTATTTGCAGCTACATCCCTTTCGCAGAATCACAGAACATGCTGAGTTGGAAGGGACCCACAAGGATCATTCAAGTCCAACTCCCGGCCCTGCACAGAAACATCCCTCAAGAGTCACACCATGTGCCTGAGAGCAGTGACCAAACACTTCTTGAACTCTGTCAGGCTTGGTGCTGTGATCACTTCCCTGGGGAGCCTGTTCCAGTGCTCAAACACCCTCTGGGTGAAGAACCTTTTTCTAATATCCAATCCATACCTCCCCTGACACAGCTTCAGGCCAGTCCCTTGGGTGCTGTCACTGGTCACCAGAGAGAAGAGATCAGTGCCTCCTCTTTCTCTTATGAGGAAGTTGTATGGTCTGGCATTTACCTCTAACACCCATCTGTTCTCTCTTCTGTCCTAAAAGTTACCTGTAAAAAGTCATCCAGGACAAAGATCATCTTTCTGGTTTTAGCATAACAAGCTACTGCCCCAAAAGAATAGAACTCCTATATGACACAGTATTATAAATAAAACTACATCCTTTCAGCTACCATGATTGTGTGGATACAGAAAAGGAGCAGCAGCAGCACCTACTGATTAGATCCAGCAGGACTACTCATTTAAATGACAGCTATTCACTCATGGGAAAGAAAAGCTGAAAGAAGACAAGAGGCAGGCTAGCACTAATACTTGCACTACCACTAAACTTACCTGAAAGCCTGGATTACTAATAAGAAAGTAATGTAACTCCTCACCTTTCATGTCAACAAGCTTATAAAAAAAAAAAAAAAGAGAGAGAAAAATTAAGGCACAGTATCAATGACTGAATTGTAACAAAGCAAATAATCATGTTAAAACATCTGAATCCTGCATGTGCTTACAGAAATCCCATACTTTCTCTGTACTGTTGTGAAAAATCCCTTCTGAAAGGGAGGCATTGGAACAGGTTGCCCAGGAAAGTGGTAGAATCACCATCCCTGGAGGTATTTAAGAGACATGCAGATTTGGCTCTTTGGGACCTGGTTTAGTGGTGGACTTGGCAGTGCCAGATTAATGGCTGGACTAGATGATCCTAGAGGTCTTCTCCAACCTAAGTGATTCTATGGATCTATTTAAGGAAAAAGCATGGAAAAACCAAGGTCTTCGCTACTCTTCTCACTCCTCTTAGCAGAACACAGGTAATCACTAGGATTCTCCTCAATCCATCAATGGTAAATGAGCCAGTAGAAAAAAAATCTTTTTGAAAAGAACAGAAACACTAAACTTTAGGATGAAATATAGCCTGTGAAGCAAAATGAAGAAAACACCTTTAACACCTCACAGTCAGAAAAGAAGACTGAGAAAAAAAAAAAAAAAGAAGAGCTGGAGTTTGAGGTTTTCTGTATTAGGGTAAACACTGGGTAGTCCTCAGCAGTCAGCATCTTTCTAGTACTTCTGGGATACAGGTAGGCAGATGCAGCCTGAAGGAACGTGTCGGCACAGATCAGTCAAACAGAAAAGCTGTCCAAATCATGGGCATAAGCATATTTTTCTGGTGTAGCCTAAGCATGCTCCAACTTTATTTATGAAGACCGAATGCATGGGGAATGACTT